AATTTTATTTGAAAAAATTGTGAACGTCACCGGGAAAATTCCGCTACATTTTTGCGAATCGAAATTTTTTGTGGACTTCAAAAATATATACAAAATTATTTTTGAATTAACTATAAAGAATTGTTTCATATTGATGTATATTATTGAAAAGCATAAATTTGTACTCTGAACCTGTGTTAAGTTTGTGTTGCTCTGTGTATAAAGAAATTTGTGCGGTAAATGTTTGAAAAGTTTATTAATCTCGCTCAAAATATATTAGAATTGCTGATAATATATTAAATATATATAAAAAATTTATATATATTTGACTGTTGAAAAAATATATATATATCAGAATTTGTTAATAGTGAATAATAGTGTTATAACGAAAACTGGTGTTATAAGGCGTTATATATAACTGGTGTTATTGGTGTTATATATAACACCATGGCAGACGTTAACACCACAACCACACCACCAACTTCTGACACCACCACCACCACCACACCACTTGTTGGTTGGTGTGATGACAATGGTGGTGATGGTGAAGGTGGTGTAGGTGGAAGTAGTGGTGTTTGTGGTGGAAGTGGTGGTGTAGGTGGTGGTGGTGGTGGTGGTATTGGTGGTGGTGGTGGTGGTGGTGGTGTGGTTGGTGGTTTCGGAACCACCACACTTCACGTCAACGGTAGAACAACCTTCATGGTTAACTCCTTAACCACACCAAGTCTAGGTAAGCATGAGGTCAAGTCATAATTATAAATTATCCTTATAATTATTATTACAGAATCATAATAATAATAATCGATATTATCAGTTTTAATAAATTATTATAATATAAAGTTAATAATAAAATTTTAATAATAATAATAATTAAGCTTTAATTTATGAATATTTTTTGAAAATTACGTTTATTTTATTTATTGCGTAGCGTATTAATACTGCTTTTGATATAGGGTAATTGCCTATTTATTTTGTTGCCCTGAAAATGCTTCCTTACCCTCAAAATTCTCCCTAATTTTTGTTCTGTTCCCTAAAAAAATCTCCCTAATTGGGTTCGTTTTGCCTGAAAATGCATTTTACCCTGAAAATTTCCCTATGTACGTTTTTTGCGTTAGAATTCCCTCGTTATCTTCAGAAAGTTCCCCAAATTTAACCGTTTTTGCTCGGAAAATAATTCGGTTTCTGCGCGTCATTTAAAACGCGTTAGCTGAGCCCCCCTCCCNGCGAGAGCGACATTCGTGTAGCGAGAGCGAAATTCGTGATGCAGGAGTGACATTCGTGATGCAGGAGTGACATTCGTGAAACGGGAGTGACATTCGTGAAGCGGGAGCGACATTCGTGAAGCGGGAGCGACATTCGTGATGCGGGAGCGACATTCGTGCAGCGGGAGCGACATTCGTGCAGCGAGAGCGACATTCGTGTAGCGAGAGCGAAATTCGTGATGCAGGAGTGACATTCGTGAAGTGGGAGCGACATTCGTGAAGTGGGAGCGACATTCGTGCAGCGAGAGCGACAGTCGTGAAGCGAGAGTGATATTCGTGAAGCGAGAGTGACAATCGTGAAGCGAGAGCGACATTCGTGAAGCGGGAGCGACATTCGTGAAGCAAGAGTGACATTCGTGAAGCGGGAGCGACATTCGTGAAGCGGGAGCGACATTCGTGAAGCGGGAGCGACATTCGTGCAGCGAGAGCGACATCCGTGAAGCGGGAGCGACATTCGTGTAGCGGGAGCGACATTCGTGCAGCGAGAGCGACATTCGTGCAGCGAGAGCGACATTCGTGTAGCTAGAGCGACATTCGTGAAGCGAAAGTGACATTCGTGAAGCGAGAGTGACAATCGTGAAGCGAGAGCGACATTCGTGCAGCGGGAGCGTCATTCGTGAAGCGAGAGCGAAATTCGTGCAGCAAGAGCGACATTCGTGATGCGGGAGCGACATTCGTGAAGCGAGAGCGACATTCGTGAAGCGCAAGCGACATTCGTGAAAAAGGAGTGCGTTTAATCGATCGCATTATTCCTCGTATTGATTACCATGGCGGACAATGGATCGAGGAGTGGAACACAAACACAGGGAATAAAAGCTGACATTACCGTACTGCCCTGGCGAACATACGATCATTATCGTCTTTATCTCGTGTCAACGATTGAATTGACGAAATGCTCATGTTTATGGCCTCAATATTGGCATCTAGGCTAACTATTTGATTGGCGAACAACTGATCAGCTCCACATATAAAAATTTTTCTGATCGAATTGGCGAAAAATTAATATATTGATGTGATTATGAACCCGTAAATTATACCATATAGTTTTCGAATATCTGATCGAATATTTGGGTAGCAAATTTGTAGGCGGACAACTGATCTGGTTTATTTAGTTATCCTGAATGATCAAGAGATGAAACAAATTTTTAATTGATTTAATCTTATTCTTATCATATCTGAATGCGTCTTGTCATGACGAACATTTGATCGAATTCTTGATGTCGGAACTTTTCAGTGCTATACGTACAAGACTGGGTTATTTTAGTGCCATATATAAAGCCTGGGTAGGTTATTCTAGTGATATACATGCCTGAGTAGGTTATTTTAGCTCTATATATACACATGCCTGTGTAGGTTATTCTAGTGCCATTATATATACATGCCTGGGTAGGTTATATTAGTGCTATATATATATACATGCCTGGGTAGGTTATATTAGTGCTATATATATACATGCCTGGGTAGGTTATTCTAGTGCTATATATATACATGCCTGGGTAGGTTATATTAGTGCTATATATATACATGCCTGGGTAGGTTATTCTAGTGCTATACATGCCTGAGTAGGTTATTTTATTGCTATATATACATGCCTGGATAGGTTATTTTAGTGCTATATATACATGCCTGAGTAGGTTATTTTAGTGCTATATATACATGCCTGAGTAGGTTATTTTAGTGCTATATATACATGCCTGAGTAGGTTATTTTATTGCTATATATACATGCCTGGGTAGGTTATATTAGTGCTATATATACATGCCTGGGTAGGTTATATTAGTGCTATAATATATACATGCCTGGGTAGGTCATATTAGTGCTATACATGCCTGAGTAGGTTATCCTAGTGCTATAATATATACATGCCAGGGTAGGTTATATTAGTGCTATACATGCCTGAGTAGGTTATTGTATTGTCATCATCCGGTATTTATATATATTTAAGTAAAGGTAATCCCCCCTTAATACCTAAACGCCCCTCCCCCTACGCACCTTACCCTCTCCCTCCCTCCATACCTAACCCCCTAATTGGAGTGCCCATTAAATCGTGCGTTAATTAACTGCTTAACATGATTGGTTTGCAAGAAAATTAGTTTATTGCTGTATAAATTGTGTCCATTAGTCGTATTAATTAAATAATTAACTAAACCTAATCAAATGTTGCTCTTCAATATGGAACGAACGATGGAAACTTCGTGAACTTCGTCGAAATTTAAACGAAGATTTAACTTAATTATTATTAATTATTATTTCAATTAATTATTATTAAATACTATTTCAAATAATTATTTATTATCGTATAAACTTCATGTATATTAGAACGAGTATATATATATATACGTTTGAAAAGCTTTTCGTGAAATCTACGGATATTAGAACAGATATTTCAATTACTTGTTGTAAAATCAACGGAGTTTACAACGAAAATATGAATTGTATACTTTTTGTATATATAATTCTATATTATTTTGTATAATACCGTATATTATTTATTCACAAAATTTTTCAATAATAAGAAGATATTTATTGGAAGATCCTACATGAAATTAATATTCATTATTGTTTCTTGTCTGTCACTAGTGGCCTTGTCTGTCACTAGTGGCCTTGTCTGTCACTAGTGGCCTTGTCTGTCACTAGTGGCCTTGTCTGTCAC